TTGTTTTGGGATGGAGCCCTGCAGTAGAGACTGTTCGATAGCCTCTGGCTTCGGCCTCCACCTGTCCCGTGTCTGTCCAACCCTTTCTCCTCCCCAGCCCTCAACCGCAACCGGTTTTTCCTCTCCGCCAGCGGGTTCACCGGGCTGGGCCCTCCTCCGCCCGCTCACCGCCCCGCCCTCCCCAGGGTTTCCCGTTTCTGTTTCACACGGAGCCTCCAGGCCCCGGGTCTTCCCCGTCTCCTTCCCGGCCCTGGGTCCCCGAACCTGCTCCCCCTGCTCCCCCTGCTCCCCCAGCTCCGAGTGTCCCCGCTGACCCCTCCCAGGGCCCTTCCCCCGCTTTGACCGCCCGCTGACCTCTCCCTGGTCGTTCGCCTCGTCCACGATCTGCACGAAGCGGTCGACCTGCTCCGGGGCGGGCGGGTAGAAGTCCGGGATGCGCAGCCGGTGCAGCGTGAGGCCGGGGCAGCTGTCCCCGTGCGGGGGCCCGCGCTCCGTCAGGGACACCAGGTGCCGCACGCCCTGGTCCAGCAGGAACTGGTAGTGGGCGGGGAGCCGGGGCAGCGCCAGCCCCGCCAGCCGGCCCGGAATCACCCACGAGAAGTTGGGGGGCTGCACGCCCACGACTGAGGGAGGGCCCAGGACCGCGGGTTAGCGGGAGGGGCGGCCTGTACCTCCGCCCACTGCTCCGTTCGCCCCTCCCTGACTATGGGGTAATTGGGTGATATCAAATTCTTCCTCCTTGAATTGAAACGCCCCGACGACATCCCGCTCTGCAGCCGGGACTGGCCCGGTCGCGCGGGGGCGGTGCCTCGGCCTGAATGACCTGGAGGAGCACCTATCCGGCCCCGGCCCCAGCGGGACCCGACCCCGACCCCTTGTTGATTGGTGGGATAGTCAATAATGGGCGGGATTACGGCAGGAGATTGGAAGCCACGTGAACAGCCAAGAAGAAAACTCTGGAAGGAATTAAGAATTATTTTCTGGGGATGAAGCCACCCGGGGCCAGACTCTGCTGCCCCCTGGCGGTGGGTGGGATTTATTGCATCATCGGCCAATCGACCTCCGCTCGCTTGGCCTCGTTCCTCTTATGCCCAAGGGGTTGAGAGATGGCAAATCTACTTCCGCTCTGGAGGAAAAATTTCCTCTGCAATTACTGTGACCGTCACCCTCAGTGAATTTCTGAACATGTCCAGTAAGAAGGAATCATTACTGTACGGAAACTATTCTCATTTTTCCACTGCTGGAATTATGAAAAATACGGGGTTGCCATCGGGTGCCCTGAAATGTAAAAATGAACAAATCGAGCATTTACTATATGCCAGATGCTATTCTAACCATTTACATGTGTTAACTCATTTAATTGCCATAATAATCTAATTACGAGGTAATCTAATGAACAATGTTATAGATCAGGGGTGGGCAACCTTTTTGTGAGTGCGTGCCAAAACCAGCAAAATCTCTGACTCAAAATTCTTCTGCGTGCCAACCCTCATTTTTTGAGAACATGTTACGCCTACTTGATATCTCTTAAGGTGTACGTATGTGAAGAACCTTGAAGAAATAATAAAATTCATTCGAGCGACAAAAACACAGTATATGATGATGAAAAATACATTTATTTGTTAATGTATACATGTACACTGGTAGTCCGACAGAAAACTTTATGACTCCGTTTGATATTATCAGTGGAACTTTTGCTGCTGCATCACTGATGACAGAGATTTTACATCAGGTTTATATTTCGTGACCTTACGAGTAAGATGCACCTACACTGAATTTATCTGAAAAATAATAAAGTCGATATTAAGAAAAAAATTGTAAATGGAAGATTATAAGAGAGGGTTTCGAGTGCCAGCAAAAGTTACTGGTGTGCCATGTTTGGCATTCGTGCCAGGGGTTGCCCACCCCTGTTATAGATGAAACATTGAGGCTTCAGAGAGGTTCCGGAACTTGACTGAGGATGACTGATGGCCTGGGGATTTGAAACCAAGTGTCCTGGCTCCACAGTCTTTAACGACACAGTATTATTTCCTCAAGTGAAATGGAAGGCCTGCCTCTTCATGCAACCATCCTCATGTCCCCAAATGTCATCTGGATTAAACGTTTCAGAATTTCTTAATTTCTCTTCTTATTTCATGATTTTCAGGCTCTATGAGCCGCCCTCCCCTGGGGGAGGCTTGAGTTTATCATGTGTTCGTAGAAGGTGGACCTATGAACACAGCGTCTCAGTCCATAGCCTCATTTGAACAATGTGCTTCTAGTGATGTGGATTAACTATACTTAGGAAAACACCTTATTGAATTTGCTTATGTACCAGGCCCTATGCCAAGTGTTTTCCGGAAGAACCACAAGTGGGAAATATTTTTGTATTCCTTTTGTATTTGAGTAATCTGAGGCTTAGAGAAGCTGGTTAACTTGGCCAATGACACTCAACTAGTAAGTAGCTGGGGTGGCTGAACCACGGTCTCTTTCATTCCAAACCTGGGGCCCACCCATGAAGATCTACTTCCCTCCCTCTGGCCCCACCTACTCCTGTCTCACACATGTGACCATGTAAAGCTCTGGTTCTAGCAAAATGAGAAGGAATTCCACTTTCCTCCAAGTTCAAAGCCTACTCTGACCCTATGGAAATGCACTTCCATTTACCCAGACAACACTGAAGCATGGCCTCCACCCTTTCTCCCCAGGTTTAGGAGCTACCAAATCTACCTTTTCCTCCCCTTCGGTGCATTCACAGCCCTGATTAAGCCCCTCTCCTTTGCACTCTCATTTCCCACACAACTCCCTATTGATCTTCCTGCCTATCCCAATCCATTCCTTTCCCTCCTTCTCTGCGGTTGCTCTCAGCCACCAGCCCCTCCCACACGCCCAGGACTTCTGCTCACACTGCCTCTGCAGACAAGATTCCACAGGACCCTATGCCCCTTGCTTGCCTCCTTGGGAACCAGCTCAAAGCCCACCTTCTCCAGAGTGAAGACATTTATGGGAGAGACATCTTCTCTTCTCTTCTCTTCTCTTCTCTTCTCAGTCCCCAACAGTGACTGTCCCCCAAGGTCAGATCTCTGCAGGTGTAGAAATGCCACCTTCCATGAACCTGGTTCTCTTTCTGGAAAGGCCAGTGGTTCCCTTTGTAGGAATTCATCTCCCTTCTCTACTTGCTCCACCCCCCTTATCAACAGACCCAGGGTCTCTGCCTTGGGCTGTGTCCCATTGTCAAGGATGCCTCTAAATAAAGGGGAAAGTCCTCTCTGATGGTTTCCTGGCTCGGACCTATGAAGCTCAACAACTTCAGCACTCTCCACGTGACCCTCCCCCGCTTTTGCAATACTGATGTTCTTTTCCTTTCTCCTCCGTGCAGTGTTACCTGACTTCAGGAAGATTCAGGCTTGCTGTACTCCTATCTCACCTCATATAAATAGGTGATCCTAGTGTGGCAGTTATGCTATTGGATTGGGGTTGCCTATGTGTGCAGGAGGCAAAGTGTCATCATTCCATCTTTGAATTCCATGCATCAGTGGTCGGCAAACCGCGGCTTGCGAACCACATGTGGCTCTTTGGCCCCTTGAGTGTGGCTCTTCCACAAAATACCATGTGCGGGCACGCACGTACAGTGCGATTGAAACTTCGTGGCCCCTGCGCAGAAGTCGGTTTTCGGCCTGGGTGAGTCTATTTTGAAGAAGTGGCATTAGAAGAAGTGGGCAGGCGATGGGATATGCAGCTACACTGTTTTGAGGTACGTTCGCTGAGGTCGACCCCTTCTAACTCTCCCATCCACACTCGTCTATCTGAAACAAGTATACAAGACGAGTGTGGATGGGAGAGTTGGAAGGGGCCGACCTCAGTGAATGTACTTCAATCAGATTGAGGACGTTTTTAGCAAAGGCCAGCTTAGGAGTACCCTAATTAAGTTAATAACAATGTACCTACCTATTAGTTTAAGTTTAAAAAATTCGGCTCTCAAAAGAAATTTCAATCGTCGTACTGTTGGTATTTGGCTCTGTTGACTAATGAGTTTGCTGACCACTGCCATACATCTACTATGGAGCCTGATACGCAGTGCTCGAAGGTGTTAAATAAACCACGACTAAAAAAATAAAAAATAAGTGGAATGCATAGGCAAGACTGTGAATGTACATTTCTGCGAGTGTGTATGAGTTTCCAGGACTATGTGATAATGTGTGTTTGTGTCCATTTATTTATTTATTTCCCATCCCTCCTCCCCTTTGGGAATATCAACTTGTTTTCTATTTTTATAGATCTGTGTGTCCCTTTTTCATTGCATGAGGTGGAGGACTATGTTGCATACTGTGTAGCACCTTCCTGAGGTGTACTTTTATGTATCTGTGCTTTCACAGGAAGAAGAATGGTGTCAGCATGGTCCTGGCTAAGTCTAATTACTATTTTTGTAAAAAGGGGTTAATAAGCCTTGCTCTTCATAGAGTTCTGCTCCTGGTGTGTGCATGTGTGGTGTATAGCGCATGTGAATGTGAGTGTGTTGAGGGGGGCATATTCCTGGAAAACAATCTGTGGTCACCAATGGTGGGCTGAGTGATCACCTTAATCTTTCTAACTTTAAGGAATTTACAATATTGGGGGAGGGGTTAGATTCAAATGTAATTGTTCTCATAGAATAAAGTACTAAGTTACCCATAAAATACAATCAGATAGTATTTATTAAAAAGTTCATTGTGCCCAGCAGGTGTGCCTCAATGGTTGAGTGTCAAGTTATGAACCAGGAGGTTATGATTTTGATTCCTGGTCAAGGCACATGCCTGGGTTGCTGGCTCGATCCTCAGTAGGGTGTGTGCAGGAGGCAGCTGATTAATGGTTCTTTCTCATCACTAATGTTTCTCTCTAACCACCAGAAAAATCTTATAAAAACAGTAGGGTCTTCCTTCCATTTTGTTCTCTGTTCATTGTGAAATACTGGAAATAACTTTCATTGAAAAGCTCAACAAAACAGTTCTCGGGCATTCTAGCTGCCCTTCCCCCAGCTAATAAGAATGCTTTGACCTAGTTCTCTTTCATATTTGAGGCCCCAGCTCCCTGAGGGCTTGATGCCAGTGGCAGTTAGAGGTGAAGCCAGAGTCAGAGAATTCCTTCCTCCAAATAGGTCCCTGTGTCTCAGTAAGGCTTGCTTGGGTTTGGGTTCCTGCGACCTTTGGACCATAGTCAGAATTCTCAGTGTCTTAAATATTCTGATCTTTTGTCTAAACACATTGCATACTTGGGACCTGATATTCTGGAAATTGGATTTAAGAGTGGATGTTGTGGTAGTCAACCTCTAAGATGGCCCGCAGTGGTTCATCTCGTGCCTTGTATGGTCTTTTCCACACTGGTAGGACTGGTTTTTGTAACCAGTAGAAAATGATGGTGTGTGCCTTAGGTTAGTCATAAAAGACACTTTGGTTTTTGCCTGGCTCTGTCTTGGAAGAAGCCAGCTGCCATGTTGTGAGGACACTCAGGAGCCTTACGGAGAGACCTGTGTGGTAAGGAACAGGGCTTCATACCAATATCATGTAAGGGCCTAGCTATTTTGGAGGTGGATCCTTCAGTCCATCAAGACTTCAGATGACCTCCCCAATATCTTGACAATAACCCCATGGGTCTCTGAGCCAGAACCACCAGCTAGGCCTCTCCCAAATTTC